ATTTTATCCCTTTTCCGGGGAACAGACCCTTCCCCAACAGGTGACACCTCTAGAGCCATTCTTTGGGTTTCGGGGAGGGGTTGAAAAGGGAACACATAGTTCCAGAGAGGCAGGTAAGATTCGAATAACATGCCATTTTGTTACTATTTTCTGATGGTAAGCAAAGAGCTCGATTCCAACAATGAGAGGAAGTGATTTAACCCTTTCAGTTCACAAAGCGTCATTTCTTTGCCAGGGGCTGAATGGAGCCCTTAGAGACCCAATGAAGAGAACCCATTTCCAGACAGTGAGGGTTTCCTTTTTTTTTTTGCTGGGAAGATCAGATCCCCTTTGTATATAATTTTTCAAAAGTCAATGCACTTCTCTATTATATCATAGTCCTGGGTAGTAAAGAATGCTACTGATATTTTTACAGGAGGAAATTAAGGTCAGGCCTTTACTTTTCTGCAGTTACAGCTTGCAAAGTGATGACAAGTCAAAGTCTCTTGCCAAGGTCAGACTAGTTCAGAGAAGGGAGATTTCCACAAGGCACAAAATCACATAAGTAATACAGGTTATGCTAGTAACTGTGACATGTATTAGCAAACATGAGATCCTAGAAAGTGTTTGGTAGAACACTTGCCTCTCAGTGTCCTATATTGGTGTATACCCATAAATAATAAAAAGGCCGATAACATTGCTTTATGTAAGCAAGCTTAGAAATCACTCTCAGATAAGTGCTTTTGACCTAAATCTTGTAATGCCTCACTCTGACATATAACCCCACAACTGTGAAATTCTGTAGATTTAACAGTCTCAAACTGCCAAGTGACCCAGCCATAAAGCAAGCAGAGATAAAGATTTACAGTCCAACATGATACAATTAGACATTTACCTTCTATTTATTTCAGCGCAGCTGAGCACTGAACCTACTTAAAAGCCGGAGCTTTTTTTATTAAAATGTAAATGCTTGTTTATCATTCATTCTGCGCCACCTCCCCTGCATCCTACAAATTAGTCTATTACTAAATGAAAAGATAACTTTGTTTCAGAGGAAGGAGTAAACAGGAATGGCTTCTGTAAAATCCTTCTAGACATGCAAAGATAAAAGATGACTTTACCAGTAGGAAATAATCAGATACAAATAGCTGTTCAGAAGCAGCACACCTAAGAAGTACTTTAATCAAATATTTAGGTTACCTGCCAAAAAGACCATGATCTCTTCAAAATGCAATGCGGATTAAAGTGTTATCTAACACGAGCAGAAAACTAACCTTGGAGTGGAAGTTTGAAATGTGTTCATCATAATTTTCATGTCTTTGGATAGAGAAACCAGCTTTTTCAGCTAGATTGCAAAACTGGTTTAAAGTGGTCCCTCGGCGTGGGGCGAATACCATTGCTTTCCCCTAGAACATTAAAAAGGAAATTTACACATTTTAAAACTGGAAGGCAACCAAACACAACATACGTTGGTCAAAGCATTTAAACATATCGCTCTCAGGTAGAAAACTCAATTGTTCTTGAGACGTCCACACAGGAAGAGCATTCACAGTGAGAATAATTTCATGGATAGGTATACATCAAATAAGAAAAAAAAATATATGTATTTCATATTCAAATGGCCAGTGGCTTTCAAACAACACATGTAATAAACCCAATGTGACTCAAAGTTAGTATTCTGCACAACACACACCTCTTTTGGGCCCAGTGGTTTACACAAAAGCACTAGATTTTAAAGGAACTGGGCCAGGCAGTGCCACCCACCTTGCGACTCGCTAGCAGCTGCCAACACGTCCGCAACCCGGCTCCAGAGCATGTGGCAACAGATGCCTATAAATGTTAGTTTATTGTGCTCTGAAACTTCAGTACCAAGAAATCCTCCATGGAGACAAGTAACCACAACCCCTATTGGAGAAGGTTCACATTTCCGTCCCGCCAGCAGCCTTCTCTGTGACCATGCTGTCAGGCACAAGTCTACAAGGGTCTTGTTTCCAGCTTCAATGAATCCTTTAAAATGGGCATCATTATAGCAAAGCAGCTCCTCACAGTACTCAAATGATTGCTTTTCAGGGAAAGTGGTACAAAGAGGGTAAACAGGCTTTTCTAAATAAACTGCACAACCTAGTAGGATTGTTGCAATGGGGAGCAAGGAAAGACTTGAATAAAACAGACACCGGATTTCAGAAGACCATCCAGCATGAAACTCCACAACGATCGTGGCTAACTACTGGGTGTGTGTGCATTTTTTCCTCTCCCTCCCAGACGTGCACAAAACGGCTAGGCTTCAGAATCTTCTTTTTTTCTATTTGTTTAAAAGATGACTGTATGCTTCTGTTAATTTCAAGGTTACATGTCACCTTGATGAAATGCCACACTAGGTTTTGGGGGAATCATGAAAATCTATCTTGGTTTCTTATGAAAGGTGGTTTATCATTCACACCTGCCAGCTAGTTATTTGAGTACATGGTACCTGTCAGACACTGGGAGAAGTGCTCTGCATAGTCTCCCGGAGTCTTCAAACTACCAACCTCATAGGGACCACCAGCTCCATCTTACAGGATGCTCAGAAAGGTTGAATAATTGGCCAAGATGACGTACCTGGTAAATGACTGGAAATTTATCTGACTCCAAATGCCAATGCTCTTTCCTGTACACTGCATTGCCTCCTTCTTAGCACTAGTGATGACAATAATAATAATAATAGCCACCACAGTGCTAGGCGCTTCCACCTTCCTTCAAACCTCTCAGACTTTCCCAACAACCTTGCATGGGAGACATTGCATTTGACAGATGATTAAACACACAGTGAAGGGGTTGACCAATACAAGAAAGAACTGTGTGGCAGAAAGGAAAATCAGAAAACTATAATGCTGTTGGGCTAGAATGGACCTTGGAGATGCTAGTGGAATCTCATTTGGCAGATGAAAAACTCAAGTCATCCTAGCTGACCCACGGTGTCCCCTAATCCAGCAAATGGGAAGAACAAAACCTGCCTCTCCCCCCACCACAGCAAGTTGTGAGAATCAGATGAGGTGATGAATATGAAAATAGTTGGAAAAACAGCGTTAAATAGATGTAAGACTAGGAACATCTACAGCACCTAACAGTGCTATGAAAATTCGATCAGTTCTCTCTCCCTGTCACTCTCTCCCTCATTTACCTGCAAGAAAAAACACTGATACACTGTCCCGGACGTCAAGTGTGTTTTCACACTGTGTTTACACGGATGAGTACACACTCAGGCACATAATTATAGCAGCACCCACCATGCCAATACACTTAAGGTTCCGTCAGCTTTTCCAATATTAATTGCTATTTTCAGGTGGTTTTCAAACTTAGCAGTAAAAATTCATTTTGATGTGAAACTAGATATAATACATGGTCTCAGCAGGGGAGCAAAAGCTGTCATTAAAAAAAAAAAAGAGGGAATATTAGTAGGTCATTTTAGTCATTTCTAAGAACTTTTGGCCCTTCTGGGTTTTTGAATAATAGAAGTTTTTCATTTAAAAATTTTAAACTCGCTCATAAAAATTGTCTTACAATGACGACAGAAGAGTTGATTTTTAATAGCTATTATCTAAGCCAGCAATCTTCAACCTTTTTTATCTCATGGCGCACATAAACTAATTACTAAAACTCTGCAGCTCATCAAAAAATATGTTTTTGCCAATACGACCAAAAAATTGGTATAATTTTGATAGATTTACAAAATAAAATAATAGTAATTACCTATCCTTTTTGCTCTAAAGTGACTTTAAAAAAAGTCAGGCTCCTAAACTTGCATATAAGGATTTCTGATACCAAGAATTAACCAATCAGATACAACCTTATTATGGGACATAACCAATAAGATGCAACTCTGTTATATGACCTATATATTTATGGTTCCAGGCAGGGCATCCACACCAGACAGCTATTGCTGCGTTGGCTGTTGTCATTTTTTTATTCGAGAGTCTAAGGGAAAAGAGGTCAGTGCCCCTCACTAAAGAGCCAGGTACTGCATGTTTGAAAAATTCTTGTGACACATTGGTTGAAAATCACTGATCTAAACGACTTATCATAACGTTTAGAGGGCTGCAGGGCTCTTGGTTGGGCTGATGCTTGCATTCACAAGGCACGTGCTCCCCACACCGCACCCCCGTGCTGGCTGGGGTGGGCTGGGGGCTGCAACTGAGCACGTGGCAGCCCCTCTGCGCGGACATCTCTTCCTCCTTCAGGTCTCAGTTTACCTGTTCTTCTTCATTAACTGCCTGGTCTAAAACCACAGGCCTTCCTCCCTCGCTGTTTGCTCCTCTCCCCGAGTTATCTTTGTTCTCAGCACTCATCGCCTCTGACACACATTATGTCCCTCTTCGTTACCACCTATCTCCTCAGGCCAGAATGTAAGCTCTGTGACGATGGAGTCTTCCAGGGTTTATTCACTGCGTTTTCTCAGGGCCCAACGTGTAGTAGGCACTCAACTAATATTTGTTGAGAGAATAAACTAAATCCAGATGTTGAGTGATCTGGGGAATACAAGTCTCGGGAATTCAAAGGCCATGTCCTATTGCTTATTCTTTAGAAAAGATTTTCTTCAAGAAGCGTTAGTAGAGTCAGCAACCGCAGTGGGATTTCAGAGGGAAGCACCTGGCACAGAACTGTACCCACAAGAAAGATGAAGAGCAAGCAGTTTTCATCTCTAATTACTCCGTACAAGTGCTTTCTTTTCCATTTCAGTGAATACAGACACCTTTGACACGTAGATTCATCGTTAGGAGGGACTGCAGTATACCACCCATTCATTCAATAAGCATCCACTGAGCCCTACTGAGTGCCTGCATCTGCCCCATAATGAGTGGTTTCAGAGCCTTCCCCCACCCCCAGTGGAGCGGGACCCTTCGACAGGTACAATCAGAGGGATACGCCTTACAATTTAGGCTACAAAAATCAAAGCAAGTAAAAGAATAGATTTCAAATGAGCCCATCACTTTAGGAAAATTATTTTTAATTTACCAAAGCACAAGTTTCTAAGCATTCACAGTCACAGAATCATTTTAAACTCAGAATGAACACTCGATTGAATGTAAAAATTTGACTGCAGAGAAACTGGGGAGAATTTGTTTATCCCTGGAGAGGAGAGACGAGTAGTTCCACTAAACAACAACGATAATGTTTATGTTGTGGGCACTACTGTTGTTATTTTGCTAGACTCATCTATACTCATGTATTAAAGGGCGTGTAATTCTGGAAAAAATAAGTATGCTTCAGATTTATTTTAAAAGCAATATGCTATGCCAATGAAATGCCTTTATTCCTTTTTCATTTCCAGGCAACCAACTATTAAATACCCGTGACATGTTTAAGCTCATGTTTATTTTCTAACCTTTTCTTTACCTAGTTTCTAAGATGCTGCCCTTGCCTGCTTCCTCCTCTACATTTCTCTCAGTCCCTTCCCTACCTTTTCTTCTTCCACTTGCCTCTTAATTGTCAGTGGTCCCCCAAGCTCTGCCTACTTTTTATTCTGTACAGTTCTCGGCTATTGTACCAAAGCCCAGAACTTCAGCTACCACGTACACAACAAAATTCACAAATATACGACTGCAGCGTTCACCATTGCCCAGAGGCCACACCCATATTTTCAGGCGCCTGCTAGAGCTCTCCACAGGGATGTTCTGAGTGTGCCTTTAAGCCGTTCTGTCTAAAACAGAACTCGGCATTCTTGATCCCAAACCCCTACCCTTTCCAGGACACTACTCATGTCTGTCTGTCTGTCTGTCTCTCTCTCTCTCACACACACACACACACACACACACTCAGACACACAAGCTGAGCACCTACTAGGTTCCAAGCACTTCCATATTCTTCACCATTAAAACAAAGCTAAAAACCTGGGAATTGTGGGGTTGCTTTTAAAACCCTCTAATGCCACACCTGCCAACTCACATCACTGTCACCTGCTGCACGTGGTCCTCAAACTGTTTCAGTTGCTTCTAGGGTGAACTCGAAGGGTCAAAGAGAGACCAGGGGAGAGGAAGTGCTAACATTCTCATATCCAGTCTCATATCCAATTGAACTGAAGCTGCTTCACTTTTCTGTTTTATAATTGGGGTGCTGGCTAAAAATGTTCCGACCAAAGGGTTCTGCCATTAAAACAGGGTTGAAAAACACTAACACGTGTCCCACCTTTTGGGGATGACAGGCAAAGCCCAGCATGACCTGCCCCATACGTATCTCTGCAGCATCGTCCCTGTTCCTCCTTTACACTCGCCTCGGGCTCTAGTCAGGCCAGACTCATCGCAGTCCTCTGGTTTGTTCTCACACGGACCCCCATGCCTTCAAACCTGCAAACGCGCCCTTCCAGTGGAATGCTTCTCTTGCCCTCCAGTTCTTTGTTGGTGGGGCAAACACTGGCTCGTCTTTCAGCAGC